GGCAAATAGGCACCATCATCCCTATTTAAAGCATGATTACTCATATTTATATGCCACGCTTCTAGGCAAAGTCTTTGACCATAGCGATTGTTTGTGGTGATTACTTTAGAGTTTTCCCACGCAATCTCGTGTTTGGTGTAACATACATGTTCGGCTAAAGCTGATTTTCCCTTGTCTAAAGTTGAAACAGCCTTTTGATGTTCTTTTAGCCGTGTACCAAACTAGCGTTTAAACTGACTCAAATATGAAGACACTAGACTGGAGTGAAGACACTAGAATGAAGATTACAATTCGACTGGGCTTTGTAATCATTTATTTAAACCAGCTAGAGTAGCGAGCGAAACATGATTGATATACCTGGTTGCAGTGAACGAACAAACTTTGTATCGGACTTGTTAGAACAAACAAGTCTGATATAATGCCATCAATCTTGTTAAGTTGTTAACAGCTTCGGTTCCAAACTTCAGTTACAACAACTGGAACAAGCAGTGCGAACACAACTTCGTTACAGCTTGAACAACTTGTTCGCGGACCGGTACCTGAAAAATATGAACAAACTTCGACGAGTTGGTTTACACTACGTACTAACTTACCGCGAAGATTTTGAGCATATTTATGATTGAATTGGATGAAAACTCGCAAAATTATCCAGCGATAAAAGTTCGTGTATAGTACTGATATAGTACTATATATGTAACTTGTACAGTTTTGCTTTAATTTTTGCTCACTATTTGCATGGAAAGCAAATTATAACAGACCATAGGTGATAGACCCTTATCCAGTGCTCTCATCAGTTTACTTCTCTAACAAGCAAGGAGGGGGGGGGGGTACATAACAGTTCATTTTTCATAATTATGAGGACAGAGCAGATGATGATGAAAGATGCAAGTATAAAACACCATTCACAAGACTAAATGTTAACATAGCACAGTATTTCTGGCAATAAAACGATCCAACTGACCAACTGACCATTTCACACGAACTTTTATCGCTGGATAATTTTGCGAGTTTTCATCCAATTCAATCATATATATGCTCAAAATCTTCGCGGTAAGTTTCTCTTTACCATAAAATTTGACCGAATAAGTTTCAAAACAATGCGACGGCAAAAAATGCAAAAATCTTGATTTTCGTAATAGAATCTATAGTCTGTTTGCCCTCTTGTACCGCCATCTTGGATTTATCATGTAGGCCCCGCCTGCGCTAGGTATGCGTTAGCAATCTAGATCTCCTATATCTATGATTATAACTAGTCAAGACAAAAATGCAAATGCTTTCTGGCAGTCAAGTTTTTTCTACTTAAAGCCTGGCACACACGACTGCTATCTGCTGAGCAAAAATTCACTCGTGACCATTGGCGTAAGTAAATGTGCGGTGGCGTTTGAGCGATTTCAGCCACGCGTGCCACCAGCACCAAATATTCAAGTAAATTCAACATGTTGAATAATTTCAGTCACGAATGAATATTTCCTCCAAGTGTGCGCGCTCGAAAAGCTATCACCTTTCAATGCAGATCGAATAGGCATGCGCATAAAAACATAAGATAGATCGACAAAATGGAGAATAATTAATGAGAAATGTAATACTCGAGCAGCGACGTATGAATATTCCTCATAATTATTTTCCTTTTGTCTATCTACAATGAAAGGTGGTAGCTTTTCAAGCGCGCACACATGGAGGAATGTTCATTCGTGACTGAAATTATTCAACATGTTAAATATTCGGTGCACGCGTGGCTGAAATCGCTCAACGCTACCGCACACTAGGAGAAGTTGCTTACGTTTAATCAGTCTTACCACGCAGAGAACACGCATGCGCCGAGCTGATCATAATACACGTTTCGCGTTATTTGCTGATCTTGTCAAACGAAAATATTCTTCAAATATTTTAGTAATAGCATGGCATTCAGGTCGACTAGTGATTAAATGCACCCGAAAGCCGAGAGAGGTTTACTTTACTAAACCTCTCGAGGCTTGGGCGACATTTGATCAGCATAGGCCTAATTGACCGTAATGCCATGGAAGCAAAATGTCCTGGGTACGAGGTTGCCATGCTATCACTTTGTAATATCATAGCTACCGAGACAATAAAACGGTTTCATTCGATTAAATAAGTTGAAATGAAAAGATACTAATAACTATTAATCTTTACAAACATCAATCTTTAATAAAATTTCTTTTGACACGGTAACCTATTCAGTATATAATATTTACAATCTGTTTTTCAAAGAGCCGTGCTATATAATATCAAAAACAATTAACTATTAAATTATAAAATATAAAACATTTTCCGTGTTGATATATAGTTATATAACATTTTCCGTGTTGATATATAGTTATATATATTATATACACTAGATAGCGCATCTCTTTTAGTAAAATTGAAGCCAAGAATATTCCAGCGGTTACCCCCATTTGAATAGATGTCGGCCTTGTTGGAGTTTCCCACTCGCTAATAAACGCTTAAAAAACAATAACTTTCATCATTTGAATAGTTTGAAAATGTATTTGGAATAGGTTTAACTTAATGTTTACGTTCCCTGTTTAAGAAATAGAAAACATACGAGTCTTCTCATTTCATGGGAATATCCTGAGTCTGCAATCACGGCTTCAATTTTTGAATTGCAGAATAATTAGATGCACTATCTAGTATTTATAAGATATCAATGGTTTTCACACAATTTCGAATTTTCCCAATTTCCACGCGTGTTGATATAACTGTATATCAATACGGAAAAATTCTTTGTGTTATATTATAATATAACACAAAGAAATACAAAGAAAGAAATTTTCCGACGTTTCCGTGTTGACATTGAGTTATTGGCTGTTAGCCAATCAGCGTTCAGAATTTACAAATGCTATATTATAAAGTTGTTTACTAATTAATTACAAATGATGGCTGCGAATGGGTGTATTATGCTTACGCACGCTTTGGAACAATTAGTTCTAAATTATGCAAATTCTAGTAACATTGTATTCCAAAGGCTTTACAGGTTTTTTGATGCACCCTGTATAAGAAAAACTTCTTTTAAGGAAATTATTCTTGGTTTAGGTAAAGATAGTTTAACATAGCCTCCTCCGCAGGCATCTCGTTCACGTACGTCAGAAAGTCTTTTTTTGCCTGCAAGCAAATTTTGCCCGATAATCTAAAGGCGATGCCTGCGGAGGAGGCTAAGTTTAACATTATTATTCCTTAGAGAATAATTACTATTTTCACACTTCGTGAAGAAATTGTGCACATAATCAGGTAGTCTGTTAATTAGTTAAAGCTTAAACGTCATGATAGTTTCTCTTTTCTTTAAACCGGAACCTCGTATGATTGTCCTGTGATAACCTGACTAGCTTCTCTTTGTTTGCTTCGTTAGATGAAAAAAATCGATGAAAAATCACGCCGCATTGTCGAATTACGTTCGAGCCTTAAAACAAGTCAACTTTTTGGATGCAAATCGCAATTTTTTGTTTACTGGTTAATATATGACAACACCAAACGGATGGTTAAATAGTTGGTTATAACTCTCCCTTTCTTAGGATAATGGTATAGGTGGCTTTTTTTTCAAACCTTCGTATTTTCCCTCTTCAACGTGTTAGGCAATCGTCAACTTCAAATGCTCTCGGAATTTTGTGACCAATTTTAAGTAAATTTTCTAATTTTTGTTTTAAAATGGTGATTATACTTCAGCTACTTTTTAACGCGAAAGTTTTCATTCTAAACTTATTTTCTTTAAGATAAACGGTCTTTCAAGAGCCTCCGGATCAAATCGAGAGCGTTGAAACATGCGAATTTCATGCAGGTACACGTTAGGATGTAACTGAATCCTTACGGAGAACGCACGAATTGCGGATATGCAGTGGCACACTATATGACCAGGCATATAACTTTGTCAGTCCACGATAATCTTAATAAAGAGGATATCATCCTTGATGTACTGACGGTTATTCAAGCTAGCAAGAGGCATAAAGAGAGGGGAACCTGAAGCGATATTCATATCAGACCTTGGGCGTTGAAACGAAGAACTCTGAGGATCTGAATTAAACGCATCAATCATATGATCTCCATTGCCTTGATCCAACAGCATCATCGTGATCTTCTTTTGCAACGGCCAGGTTAGAAGAGCGTCGTAGTCGCCTTTCATCACAACGAAAAACAAAGATAAATGCGACCCTTTTCCAAATCCATCTCCATTCATATATAGTTTAGCACACATCTTATATCCAAACTCACTGGTGTAAAAATATGGACTAAATATTGTAGTCTTCACTCCATTAATAGCATCTTGTCGCTTCCTCTGGTAGCCTTCAATCTTCCAAAGTAAGACACCATTGCAGTTCACTTTAGTTTGAGATGGTTCTCTTTGTTCGAGGTCTGCAAACCTGGCTGTTATAACAGCAACGGATTGATCAATCTGTTCCACCTTATTTTGGTATCTTTCTATCGCCTCCATTGCTTCCCTCAGTTGTGTTTCAAGTCTGTTATTTTTTGCTTGTAACTTTTCTATTTCCTTCCCCATTCTCACCTCAACTCGTCTGATTTCAGCGTTTCTCCCTGAACCATTAGAAGTACTTGCTCCATTTAAATCCACGTTTTCCAATCTTCTTATTAAACTATTTACAGTTGCCATCATTTTAGAGAATTTACTTTCCATGGTTTTAATTTCGGCCGATATTGCATCTTTTATTTTGTTGACTTCGTCCAAAACCAACTGTTTCGTGGCAAAACACTCGAACTTCGGAGCAAGATTTTGTATCTCGCCTTGCAGTGCGAAAATAAACCTCAGTAATAGCTGAATGTGAAAACGAGACGCATCCTTGTAATGCTTGTGAAGCTCTTTCCTTTTACTCGCCTAAATAATATTACTGAAATTGTTAACGGATTGAAGTTGTATTATAAATACAAAACATACTGCAGTTATTAGACAAAATTTTAAATTTGCTTTAAAAGCAAGAACATTGAACGACATCTCTGAATGCGAGAACTAATAAACATAATATATGCAAACATGCATGGACCCAGCCACCCCTTCCAATAAATCTATCTCTGCATATATGAAAATGAATAAACATTTTATCACTGTATAATAACTACAGAATTGACCACCGTTTGTTGGACGATAGATAGGCTTCACTGTAGTTATTATGGTCAACCTGTAGTTATTATCAGAGTGACAAACTAATAGTCATTCTTTTAATTGTTATGTAGTAGAGTCTTGTAATAGAGGACTGTCTTGTACAGGGGTGGAAAAATATTTTACTTTCTGGGACCGCAAGAGAACATACAACATTTGTTGCATCATTCTATAGTCTAATACATTTATACACCATCGCACTATTAAGATTGTTGCACTTATAATTGCATTTCTGAGATCATGCATGGTGAGAATTCTCCTCTGAATATCTCTTTTTATCTGAATTATTATAAAATCTTTTTCTTCTTGGCGAAATATTTTCTGGGAACTCAAAAGAATTTCTGGAACCAATAGCACCGTGGACCGATACGACCACCTCTGGCCTTGTAATAGTTTTGTCAGACATGTAGTTGAATTAATTTTAAGTGCCCACACCTTTTTGAAGTTGACTGTCCTGTCAGCCTTACTGAAATCAATCAATACAGTGTACTAAAAGTTACGGTTACCACTGAGTAATTTTACAAAATACAAAACAATGGACACTTAACATTTTAATAACATTACATTTATTTCGTTCTGTTTTGGAGGGCTATTTATTATGTGCCAATATAATATATTATGATGAGGTTTCAATTTGACCTCCACTATTACTAGTGCTACCATTAAAAGAATTAAAATGTTAACCGTTTTCAGAGTGTCCATTGTTTTGTACAGTGTACTAACACACTAACCTTAATATAGTCGCAGCCTATTGATTTAAAATCACATTCCACGTCGATTTCTTCACATTCCTCAGTCTGATGCTTTCTCATTTCCTTTCGAGGTATATTCGTTAACTGACAATATTCACATGTGAGAGGAGCTGCCTGACAACTTTCTTTTATATGTTTCTATATGGAAAAATGAACATAGACAATTGTATAAAATAAAAAAATAATAATACAATAATATTCAGATTTTCCAATTTTCGTTCGGCAAACTTCAAAATTTTCCAGGAACCAATGGTTCCATGGTCCACCATGGTCCGAGGTAGAGGGGAGGTGTTGCAGTTGAGAGCTGATTGCAAGGGGCGCAGCTCAGATGTGACCAAGTTTAAGGCTTACTGCGTCGCCTCTGCATACGACGCATGTCAATCCATCCCTAAAAGTGAGGGGGACGGACTAGTACTCCAAATTAGGAAGATCCGGTGGCATATACTGTATGCCACCCGAATTTTTTTTTAATTTTGGTACACTGAAATGGCATTTCCAGCGTTTTGGAGGCACTTGTAAAGTTATAGTACAATGTGCTGATCTTAAATCCATTTTTAACCGTGTGAGAAATCGTTACCCGGACGTTTTGCCGAAAGACACTTTGCCAAAAAACACTTTGCCGAAAGTGTAGCCTGCATGGCAGGCGGTATTTCTACGGGCAGCGAAAATTAGGGAAGCAAAGGAAATACCGTCTGCCGCAAAACTAGGGGTTTTTGAATTACCCGTCCGCTGGTGAACGGGAAAAACGGATTGGTTAGTATTTTTATGTAGTTGTCAATCAACGGCTAAATTCGGTGAAATGTTAATCAGAAGCAAATTAAAAGATACAAGCTGAAAAATAACACTCTAAATAGTGTTATTGATAGAGATTCGAACAAGAATATTTAACAAAGAAGATACGTCCGAAGGGGCCGAAGTTATGATCGGCGAAAGGTATGGGCTAGTCTATATTTTCGTTCAGACAATTACATGCGTATTAATTTGATAATATACTATCTCGCCATAAATCGCAATAATGTTGACATTTTACTAAAACTATCGATAGAAATTAGGAGATATTTCTTCACTGAATCGAACAGTGGGATTTCCATATATGCCTATCAGTCATGTTCTGAACCAAAGATACTTGATAGATATTATATACGAACCTCCAAAGTATAAACAAGGGGCCGGTTGATGCAGTAATTATCAAATAACAGTTAAACTCTTATATACCCGTTGAATATGTATAGTTGTAAACAAATAAAGCTATCGTTCTATAAGGTTCAATACTTTCAGTTGGTTGTTGACTGATGATGAATCTATAGTATAGACTTGCATGCTTTGTATTTTGAGCTTATTAAACCACCGTTTTAAGGCAGCTAAACGGCTAAACGGGCTTGGTTTATATTAACACATAAAATAAATTCCTTGATTCTCATCACTAGACACAGTCTACACTTTGAAATGTCGAAGACAGTGGGAGATTTATTTTTTATATTTTATATTTATATAATTTATATATCAATAGTTCGTATCTCCACGAACAATGACAGAATGACTGAGTTTCTTTAAAATACAATGAAATTTCACTCAAAATTCTGTTTGTTTCAAATTGGAAGTATAAAATGGCAATAAAAACTCTATATAAAATATGAAAAAATTAACTGTCTTGAATTATTTTGTTGGGCGGTACATTTATATTGTATAACGAAAAATAAAACGTTTTCACGAGGATTTTAAAATTCAGTCGGGCGGTGATGAGAATCAAGGAATTTATTTTATGTTGGGCAGTTGACTTGGGAGCAGCTTGGGAGTGGCTAATTTTGAATATTTACTTAATTAATGCATCTATAAATAGCGTTGATGCTTCAGGGGCGGTAGTTCATTTACACCCAGTTTTGCGGCAGGCGGTATTTCCTACGTACCGCCTGCCATGCAGGCTACCGAAAGTGCCGAAAGACACTTTGCCGAAAGACACTTTGCCGACGGTCATTTTGCCGAACGGACGTTTTGCCGAACGGACATCTTGCCGAACGGACATTTTGCCGAACGGACAGTTTGCCGAAAGGACAACTTGCCGAAAATAAAGATGTTATTTCGTCAAAATGTTTGGGACTGTGACTCATTAATTTTCTCAACTGTGTAATTCTCAACCTTTGTGTAAAATAATTAACCATTATATGGTCATTAGCAGAGCATAATGGTCATTAGCAGTGCATAATGGTTGTTAGTTAGTAGTGGATAACCATATTGACTACACGGCTAAAAACGCACAGTTTGCTCCAAGTTGATATCGACAGGCGTGAACAATGTTGTGCGGCCCACTATGAACAAGTTGTCAACCATGTTGTTCCAAGTTGATACAGTTGAACAATGTTGTAACAACAAGTTGACAATACTGTTCATAGTGGGGCGCACAACCTTGTTCGCGCCTGTCGATATCAACTTGCAACAAGTTGTTGATTTTCTCAATTTTTACGCGTATATTGGTAGCTTGTTTGTGCAGCGGATGACTCATTTGTTAGGAACCTCAGTTTTGACGTCAGATCGTAAACAAACAAGCGTATTTTTAGACGGCGTAAGCGAATTTCACTTCGAGAATCATGGAATATATTCACAGTTCTCGGGGAAATCACATTCATGAAGGATGTTGAATGATGTTATTCTTTATATCGCGAATTTTCGGTAAACTTGTCAAAAACTTGAAAGAATATAAAAATCGACAATTAATGACTTTAATCACAAAAACTTTGACCGTATTTTCGGCAAAATGCCCGTTCGTTAAACTGTCCGTTCGGCAAAATGTCCATTCGGCAAAATGTCTGTTCGGCAAAACGTCCGTTCGGCAAAACGTCCATCGGCAAAATGTCCGTTCGGCAAAATGTCTTTCGGCAAAGTGTGTTTCGGCAAAATGCCCGGCCACCGAGAAATCCGCTAAAATACAAGGTTGTGCAAGTGGGATAACGCACGTCAAAGTTGTTAATTATATTAGTTGTTAGTTATTCATTTAGTTAGATTGCAATGCTATGTCTAAAACTTTTATAATTGGAGTCAGGCGAGAAACTACAAAAATTGAATCTTTTGACTTAATATTTTACTATATTTGAACTTTTGAAAGTGGTAAAATAAAATTATTTAGTCTTAAATCTTAATTTAGTCGTTAAATTAGTAAATTAAGATTATGGCGATTAGCTCAATAATTGATGTATATTAAAATATATTATCACCTTCTTTACTGTAAATATATATATATATATATATATATATATATATATATATATATATATATATATATATATATATATATATATATATATATATATATATATATATATATATATATATAGTATCTTCCACTTCGTAAGTTTATATGCATGTTAATGTTTTATTTTATATTTGTTATACAGTTTTATCCTTGTTCAATATAATAATTCGAACTGACTAAATATAAGAATGAAATAATGTAAGTATAGGGGTCTTAATTAAAAAGCCTATTAGGTTTCTAGAAGGCCCCAAGCCTATCCAGAATAGAAAATCAGAATGTAAATAACTTCTAAATACTTTTTACTGGCGTAATAATAAAAACAAAAACAAGCAAAACGAATTATTGTCTCATTTACTGCAGCTTGCCAGTCAGAACAGGAAGTGAATACGACCAATTGTAAATGTTTATAAATTACATGCACACGTACAAATTTGAATTCAATTTGAATAATTTTTAGTATTCGCATAACATATGCGATGTCAGTATTTGCTCCCAGCGGCAACAGAAAGGTCATACGTTGTCCGTCATCTTATTAAATGTTTTTGTTTCAACCACAATTCTGGATGAATAGCATAGCAGGCATTAAGTTTTTAGATTACCAAGAAACAAAATTTCATTAAACATGTTAAAAAGTTGGGGGGGGGGGGATAATTAGATATTCGTCCCCCACTCCAAAAACTGGGGGGACGCGTCCCCCCCCCATCCCCCCAGGATTGACGCCCATGCTTGTCAAGGAGTAGCTCCGACAGAAAGAGAACCAACCAAACTCTTCTTATGTGTTTTCAAAGAAATCAAGTCAGAATATAGATATCCATCAAGTTACAAGCCCTCCTCTCGACCTATACGGTATAGTAGCAGGCTTATGTAAGGATCAGCGTGCAAACATACCTGGAATCTTATTTGATAATATCAGAGTACAATAGTCTGGCGTTATATTAAAGCAGAAAAGTTAAATGATAATATAGAGATTAGAGGGTGTTAAAAAAGGTTGAAGGAACTGTAGTGTTTCATATCTCTAATCTCCAAAATAGCTTCACTTGTGTGAACATACCTCTACATAAGCAAAAGGCAGCGTTTCTTGACAATTTTCACACTGCACTGATCGATATAGACATTCTTCCTTTAAATGTTCTCCCAAGAGTGAACGTTTGATTTTAGCTTTACATGGAGTATGAACACATTTTATCACGGTGTACTCACATGAGTCGATGTGAGCCTAAAAAGAAATATGACCGTTATATACTAGTTGCAGTAATCATGTCACTTCAACATAGAAAAAACCCCTAAGTTTTTAGTTAATGTGGTTTTCTAGTTTTGTACCGTTTGTTCCAAGGTGCGCGAAATCAAAACTGCTCATAAATATCGCATTTAGTTATAGGTGCCCTAATTACGTCGCGCGAAATTAAGTATGATTCTTAAATAAGACTGAGCGAAAATTGGAATAAAACGAATACACAAAGTATACAGCCTTTACAGTCGCAGAATTAGTTACCTGCAAATCTTTTCCCGCCCCAAACCAACTACACTCATTATTTAAACAATGTAGCTTCAACAGCATTAGTTCTCGCTTTGTGTAACCATCGAGAAAAATCTAGGAAAAAATTATTTTGTATGGTGTCTTCATTTATATGGTTTTGTTTTGGAGGGCTATTTATTATGTGCCAATATAATATATTATTATGAGGTTTAAATTTGACATCCAGGTTGAGGTCAAAACAATGAGTGACTGGATGGCATGGAGAACAGTGGGATTTTCAAAACAATTAAAAGACAATGGAACATTCTGATCACTGAATCATGACTGAATGGCACTGCTAAATGTTGTGCAAAGGCGTTAAGTGGCTATTTCATATGAATATCGTTAAATGTTTACATGTATCAATTATACATGTAAACATTTAACATGTAAACATTTTAATAGTTTAACTAAATTTTTGGACCAGGAACTGGTCCCCAATCGCTGCTAATCTTGTTGTTGTTGTTGTTGTTGTTGTTGTTGTTGTTGTTGTTGTTGTTGTTGTTGTTGTTGTTGTTGTAGTGGAGTAATATTGCTATCTGGCTGTCATATAATATTCATAGTCCGATAGAAAATCGCGAACCGTAAAAACAAAGACATGAAAATTTGTTTTTAGCACAAGCATGCAGTTATATGAAGCCATGACTAAGCGAGATGAAATTGCATTATTAAACCTGGCAACAATTCAGATAATTTGTTACCTTAACTTATTTTGTAATTAATGGCCTTAACTTATCTATCGAATTCAAATGCGAGGAAATACTTTTGAAAACTGCGCATTTAGTTATCTATGCTTTGTCCAGATTTACACCTCATTTAGGCTATATACACACGGCACTAGACACATTTTGCCCGGATAAAGTGTATCTTGCATGACCAAATTAAAGCAAAACATTTAGCGAACTCAGTCTCCGTTGCAAACTTCGAGAACACGATTTGCACAAGATCGAAACTGAGTCACGCAGTTCCTGGTCCACTATAGTACGATCGTACTTGTTAAGGTGGTGATTTAGATGATATACGAGTTTTACTACAATCAATATCACTTTAAAGGGAAAATCTTGAAACGGAAAATAGTTCACTTACTTCCTTCTCATTAAGCGA